GTTTTGATACTGTGTAACATAAAGAAATGTAACAGATTGACTCACTGTGATTCTAGAGGCAAAACTACATTTAAGATTGAGGTGTAACATCTTGATACAGTGATAAAAGAATTTCAGAATAAAAGCCAAGTGATTCAGCTTTATCATTTATCCATCTCTCTATCCTTTCCCTTCTCAATTAAACTTTCAATCCTGCCCCTCTACAGGTTCCTCCATTCTGTCAATCAATACTTCTCAGGTCTTCATAATCCAAAATCAGTCTTTCTCAGACCCTGTTATTCCTTCAAGCATGCTCTTCCCTTTCCTTCACCCATACGGTCTCTAGAAACTGCTGTCTCCGCTTCCTCACCACCTACTGTCACCCTGAAATCTGGGTTTCTATCACTACTGATGAAACTGCCTAAAAAGGTCATCAAGGACCACCTGCTGGACAAAGCAATGGTCCTACCTTTATCTCTCTGCAGTGAGCAATGAAAAATCTGCACTTAAGTAAGTTTTAAAAACTATGCACTTTATGCCCACATATAATATATCAACTCCTGGCTATCGGAAACTAACAAAAGGCCCATTGTTTTATGAATACAGACACTAAAAAAAGAGACTACTAAATTTATCTAAATCCATATACACATAAAAATGTCCAAATAGAAACAAAGGATATCTCCCAAGACAAAGGATATATAATGTGGGACAATGTGAGAAGGAGTATAAAACAACTTCTTACACAAGGCATTCGAAGAACTACATTAGTGCAGTTATTTCTGAAGCATCTTTCTCTTTTCAACCAAATGGAAACCAAATAATAGAAAAGCTAAGACCCTTCTATTTCTCCGTCATGAGAGCTATTCATCAATGGATAACAGAACATTAGGAAAATATAATATAATACATAAATGAAGGACTTGGTTGTATGAGTTTTTACCATATGGTCTAGGTGAGTCTGGCCACAGGTTTGTCAATTTTGTTTACCCTTTCAAAGAACCAGCTCTAGGTTTTGTTGACTTTTTCTATTGTTTTTTAAATCGCTATTTCCTCTCTGATCTTTATTATTTCCTCTTTCTGCTGACTTTAGGTTTTGTTTGTTCTTTTTCTAATTCTTTCAGGTGGTAGGATTAGGTTATTTGAGATATTTTTTCTTTTCTGAGGAAGGCCTGTGAACTTACCATGTGATCTAAAGGTAAATCAATGGCTGTGAAAAAATGCATCTCCCCATCTCCCATTTCTCAAATGACCTATAAGTTTCTCTTCCTCAAATTCTGTCCCTCCCTCACCAAGGGTAACATTTAATATTTTTTCTTAAACAAACAGAAAACTAGACCTGCACTGTCCAGGACAAGAGCTACTAGCTACATGTGGCTACCAAGCAGTTGAAATGTGGCTAGTGTGAATTAAGAAGTGGTGTGTTGCACTTTATGTCAAAAGAATGGTATTTTTATATGTACTGGATTAAATTATTTAAATTAATTTCACATGTTTAAAATATTCACCTGTAAATCTAAAGTTACATACGTGGCTTGTATTATACTTCTATTGCATCACACCATGTTAGAGACACAAATAAAGGGCTAGGACAGAAAAGGTATCATGTTACTATCATACTTTTGCAGCATGTCACCAATAACAGTCTCCTGCAAAGTTATTTTCATGAATTGTTCCAGTTATAAGGAAAAAAAGGTAACAGCATAGACTTGAATTTCTTTCAAAAACAATGATAAGCCTTAAGAATTAGTTTTATCCATTCAAAAATTTGCTTGACAGCTCTAAATTCATGCCATTTCTCCCCTCCTTCCCAATCATTTTTTATAAAAATCCACTGGTCACAGAACACTTAGAAGTTTTTTCAGGGGAATTTAGATGTCTAGATTAAATTCAACTTCTCAAGAATATTAACAGCGGGGAACCCCACAGTTATTCTGGTTCACCAAAGACCCACTGCTCAATGTTAATAGTGGGAGAAATGGGTGTGGTGGTAAAATTCCAGTTCTGTGAGTTGGATATTTAGTGGGCGGGAGAAAAAAAGGCATTTCTTTATAGTGCAGCAAAAGCAGAATCTCAATGCTTAAATGTCTACTTCAACTGGGGATTGAGGGCAAGAACCTGACAGCAATTTAACTATACTAAGGCTCAGGTTATAAAGTCTGGGAATTATAGGTATCTGGTTATCTATCTGACATTCTTCACTTACAGACTTTAGTACAAGTACCACCAATGGATTATCATATTCAAGTAATAATGTCGAGCTTCTCTGGTGGTGCAGTGGTTGAGAGTCCGCCTGCCGATGCAGGAGACGCGGGTTTGTGCCCCGGTCCGGGAAGATCCCACATGCAACGGAGCGGCTGGGCCCGTGAGCCATGGCCGCTGAGCCTGCGCGTCTGCAGCCTGTGCTCCGCAATGGGAGAGGCCACAACAGTGAGAGGCCCGCGGACCCCCAAAAAAAAAAAAAAAAAAAAAAAAAAGTAATAATGTCACCCTTCATGATTTGATAAAAGTTATGATAACGACAAACCATTTATTCAACATTTCTCTAGCGATCGATGGAACAAATTTACATTAATATATTCTAATTCATTCTAGTTCATTAATATATCCTAATTAAATTATTTGTGTAACTGAGGGCATACGTTTATAAGATAGTTGAGTATAAAAAAGTGCAAACTTTGGCTGTAGAAGAAAAGCTTTGAAATGACAAACTATTACTCAGGTTTCATTAGTTCTATAACCAAAGCAACCCAGTACAAACTTAAAATTTTTCTTGCTACAGAGTAAAGAAAATTTCCTTTAAGAAATAAGTTCTTAGAAACTCTGGGAGAATCAAAGTTTCCTTTTGGCAGATGAAACTTCAATACATAATTAATTACTATAGGAATAGCATGTAAAATGTAGGGACAAGAGTTTTGGTTTCTAGTTGTAATTTGCTGTGCATGTGTAACATGCATAAAATGCTTGGGAATCCTTGCTTTAGTGCCAAATGTAAATAAATATAATTTTAAAATCCTAGATGAAAAGACCTACCTACTATGATCACTCCAGCTGGAAGTGATCTGCACACATTCCTCTCAACTTTTATAAGACTTGTTTGTACCATTCCACAATAAGGATCATAGGCTATCTTAAGTTGTCTTCTTAGCTCCTCTGTAGATGTACATTTTTGGAAGGCAGGGATCTCAGCTAATATAAATTCCCCTCTATAGTCCTTAACACAGTGTCTTGCACTTTCTGTACACCAAAACATTTTATTGGATTAGTTGGACTGTACTTGGGAGCAACAAAGTTCCTGCCAGCTGCCAGTGCTCCCCAACCCCCAATTCCCCTTACCGGATCTGGCCATCAGCCAGCAACAAGAATAGTGTTATTTCAGCTGTCTTAACTCTAATACATAAATCACAGCATCAACAACATCCGTATTTAAGAGTTCATAAAGACAGGGAACTAGGACCTTACAACTAGGACCTACAACTAGGCCTAGCAAGCATCTCTAATGGCTATCCCTGGCTACACCATGCGTGTGCCACACACAGAGAAAATGTGTGTTAAAATCAGTGTACTGATCTCCAGTACTGGTGAAATGTACATAAAATGCCGTATCTTTTGACACATCACTGGATGAATGGAAGCAAACGATTATATTAACAGTGACGATTAAGAGTTGATTTCAAAGCTGTATCTGAGTACTACTACCCACTCAGGCATACTCAATTCATCTTTGTTAGCTCATGTTTCTCCTAGTTGTGATTCTCAAAAGAATCCTATTGGAGACAGCTGAATCCCTGTAAATCTCAGATTAGGCCTAGGTAAACTCAGATCTCTCGCCACACAAATACAATTTACAGGTTACCTCTGGACCCTCATTTGTAGTACAATACATAAATTCTTCAATGATGACCACCGTTTGGTACCCGGTTAACTAAATCTACTGAATGAGGTCAAACATGCATTTGTCTTGTGTCAAGTCCCATTCTATGGCAAAGAATAATCTATCAGAAATTCCACGGTTCTCTACCTCCAAGCTACACAAACAAATTAGAAGCAACCTTATTCCTGACTCATTAACGTAGACTTTATGGTTCATGCCAGGAAGTGAATGTAATTCAACTCTCAAAGACACTATTCTGGGACTTTGTACACTTAGGAATTCAGATCAAAGGCCCTGAAGTTTTAGTAGGAGACCCAGGGAGCTTTTTGCCTTGATGCAAAAGCAGCTTTTGGAACTGCAAATCACTCGACTCTTAATCAGGGAAGCTGTAGGGAATTAAGTTTATTGATGAACACAGTATGCCAAAAATCAGAACTAGGGTGTGGAGCTAGAAGCAACAAAATAAGGTAAAGATACAATCCTTTAATGAAGCTTTTAAAACTACTTTCCTTCGCTGACCGAGGCATGCGGCCAAACATGGAAGCTCGAAATATTCCGTCTTTTCTTTAAAATTATAGAGTTAAGAAAAAAATCACATAGTGTCTTCATGCTTTCTTCCCCGTTGTTTCTACACCCTCAAAGTCAGCGAACACGACGTTCTTGGCAGATGCACATATCCTCTCGGGATGTGGCCCTGGGACGGAGCTGGCGGACACAAGCAGGCCCAAGTGTGGGAAGTGGCAGGGAGCTGTAACAATACCGCTATCTGACTGCACTCCGACCTTCAGGAGGTAAACAAGAGTGACCTTTTCGGACGAGGGGCTTGGTGACTGGCGGGGCCCAGGGCCAGAGGACGTGGCAAGCCAGGCACGAAACTGTACCCCACAGGACGCAAAGCCGGGAGCCGGAGTTCGCAGGGACCCAGGCCCCTTCCCAGAGCGCAAAGGAAGGCGAGCGGCGGCCTCCGACCCAGGCGCACCGAGGGTCGGGCAGTCGCGAGCAGCCTCAGGCCCCGGAACCCCGAGCTGGCAGAAACAGGGGCCCTGAGACAAGAAGGCCCTGCCTCACCGGGAGCGAGGCCCAGAGCACAAAAAGAAAGTGAACAAGGGGGAGGCGGCGGCGGAGGGACGTGCACGGCGGTACTTACCTCTCCCCGTTGCGCCCACTGCCCAGGACGCCGCGGCTGCAACTCACCCACCGGCTCAGCTCTGGCGCGCAAGCACCGCCCAACCGGAAGCGGTTCCGCGCCCCGCCGCTGTCCTCCACGCCGGCAGCCTCCGGACCAATCACCAACAAACCCGCCGTGGACGCACAGCTTCCCCGGACAGCCATTGGCCCTACGGTCTCGTGGTCCGGATTGGCTGGAAAGCGCCACGTCCCCGCGAGCGCGCCGAGTTACGTGGACAGGATTCCCTCCCAACTCTCGTCCCTGGACTTGTGGGGCTGGCGGGCCACAGCCCCTTACTCCGGGGGGCGTGTGGGCGCGGCTGTCCGACCGCCACGTCCTGGCTCGCAGCGCTTGACTCTGCCTCCATAGGGCTTCTTAAATTATCCTAATTATCTTCATTTCCACAAGAACCCAGGGCCGAATTAATCCGACTCTATCAGTCACCAACTATTGATATATTGAATAATCCCATCCCCTCCTTTCCCTTCAGCTCTGCCGCCTAAATGGGGTATCGTATAGAACTTCAGTCGCTGGCTCCGGCTTCATCTCCCACCACTTCTCGGGTGTCGCGCTCCGGCCACCACCATCTCGGTGTTTCCTAACTGCCAGTCCTTTCACATCTCCATAGTCTTTCATTATCAACCAGGAGTGAGGGCGTTTTCCAGATTCTCTGCCTTGTGAATGACAATAGAAGTCCTGGTTCACAGAAATCACGGTTTAGATGTTAGCTCTAGAAGCCTTTCCTGACCTCACTAAGCATAGTAATTCCTCCCTTATTTACCTTCATAGCACTTTGCATCTTTGGTACACTTTGCCAAATTTTGCTATATAATATGCTGCTTATCCATTTGTCCTCCAGACTAAGCTCCAGGGAAGAGATCTGCCTTTGTTCATCTTTGTACCTACAGCTTTGAGCTTACTGCCCAGTTCAAAGTAAATGCCTAGTAATGTTAAGTGAACTGAATGGGTGGAACCCGTAGAATGTCCCTGATTGAAGAGGAACACAGGAAATTATTAACTTATTCATTCATTTTCACGTCATGAAATTAAAGTTAAATAAGGGCTACTATGTTTGCAATGTCAGTGGACTATAAACCTGTGTTCTCAGCACATAAAGCCTCTATAGTTTAAAATCCAGTTGAGGGCTTCCCTGGTGGCGCAGTGCTTGAGGGTCCGCCTGCCGATGCAGGAGACGCGGGTTCGTGCCCCGTTTCGGGAAGATCCCACATGCCGCGGAGCGGCTGGGCCCGTGAGCCATGGCCACTGAGCCTGCGCGTCCGGAGCCTGTGCTCCGCAAATGGGAGAGGCCACAACAGTGAGAGGCCCGCATAACGCAAGAAAAAAAAAAAAAAAAAAAAAAAAAAATCCAGTTGAGACACGTAGTATGCTCAGGAGAGAGTTAAATACAAAGCAACTTACTTTACTTTAAACGTCAAGATGAGAGGTTGAGGGCTTCCCTGGTGGCGCAGTGGTTGGGAGTCCGCCTGCCGATGCGGGGGACGCGGGTTCATGTCCCGGTCCGGGAGGATCCCACGTGCCGCGGAGCGGCTGGGCCCGTGGGCCGTGGCCGCTGGACCTGCGCGTCCGGAGCCTGTGCTCCGCAGCTGGAGGGGCCGCGGCAGTGAGAGGCCCGCGTACCAGACACACACACAAAAAAGGTGAGAGGTTGACAACCTGTGGGAATTCAGTTGTGGCCCTGACCCTTGGTGGCAACCAGAGAGGGCTTCCTAAGAAGGTGTGACTCAGGCTAGACTTAGAAATTCCTGAATGCCCTATTCAGCGAAAGGAATAACAGGAACAAGGGCAAGCAGGGGACAGAGTAGGAGGTAACTTCTTAGGTCAGGTAGGGGATGAGGGAGGTAAAAAAAAGGGGGGGAAGGGGGAAAGGGGGGAAAGGGGGGAA